TCATCTCCAAGTGTAGATTGTGTATAGAAGGCCTTCTTTGTAAAAGCTGGAAAAGTTGTACAAATGTTTGACCAGCTCATTTGGTACTTTTGTCTCGCCTTCTCCAGTGCCTGTGCATGTGCTGGGCAGCGACTTCCACACCAGGGGCCGGGCCGGGCCCTGCCTGCCCCTGCACCCCGGCCCGGCCGGGAGCCAGGGGTGGCTCCGAGGGGAGCAGCAGCTGTCCCCCCGCAGCAGCCCTTCACCTCCGCCTCGCTCAGGTTGCAACCTTCTCGCAGTCCCAGGCCAAACACCAACACACGCTCTTCCCAGCAGTTTTAAGAGCAGAAAAAACAAAACATGTGTCTCCCTGCCCGGTTCAGACTGCAGAGACTTGAGACTCTGCAGGTTTTTGCTACAACTGCCCCTTCTCTGCAGCTGCAGCTTTCGCTTGGCTTGGGAAAGGAGCCCCTGCACGGCTGTGGTGAGGGGCTCTGTGGTGGCCCCAACCCTCCGGCTCCCTGGATATTGAAAGCCAAACTAGCAGCGACTCCCACCTTTGTTCCATTCCTGCACACTGCGGGGCAGCTCCGCCGGGGGAGTGGGATAGGATGGATGCGGCAGCCAGGCTGGCAGGGCTCACTCTCCCTACACCTCCTGCTGTGCTGCCCCAGGACAACCTCTGGGAGATGGGGAGTGGTAGCCACCAGCACCTGGGACTGGCACTGGGCCGTCACAGGGCTCCACGGAGAGCAGGGACAAGCACGACTTTACCTCTTTCGCTGAGGATGCCATCAATGCTGTGCTTGGCCTTCTTGTCGCCTTCCTCCACCTCTTTTCTTTCCAGCTCAGCCTCCTCTTCCTCGCCTTTCCCAAACTTGCTCCGCAGGATGCGGCTGATGGAGCTCACTTCGGGGGAGAGCGCAGAGCTGTGACCGGCTCGTTCCCAGCAGCCCCCTGCGGCTCTCGGGCCAGCCCGGGAAGCCGAGTCCCCCATCAGTGCCACCGGCCTGTGTCCCTCGGCCACTGCCAGTCGGGATTTAGGGACGGCAGCTGCCCGCTCCCGTCCCCGCGGGGGTTCCCCGGGGCACCGGCCCGCGCCGATTCCAGCGCGGGCACAGCGGCTCCCGAGAATCTTTCTGTCCCCAGAGCCCGCATGGTGGGTGATAAAGACCCTCAGACCCCTAACAAACACTGCTCCGGCTCCACATGCCCCCCGCCCCACCCCGCCGGCGCAGGGAGCTGCTCCCCATCTCCTGCTCCCCATCTCCTGCTCTCCAGCCCCTCGTCTCCGGCGAGCTCCGAGCCCTCCTGCGGCAGCAGCCCGGAGGGGACGGCGGGGAAGCGTCGGGAGGAGGAGGGGAGGGGGATGCAGTTGCGATTTAATTGAAAACACCCCGCCGAGAGCAGGAATCCTCCCGGGAGGGAGGCACCGCGGGCACCGCTCCGGCCCGGGGCCCCGATCCCGAGGGGACGGGGCTCACCCGGGTACCGCGCTGACCTCCCCGGCCGCCCCCGACCCTCCAGGACACTCCGAACTCCCGCTCCGTACCTGACGGCACCGAGTTGCGGTCACACACCCCGTCCTTCAGCAGCTTGTCCCGGATCTCCCAGCTGAACATGCCCGCGTTTTCCCGCTTGTATTCCTCTATTTTCTTCTCGACATCCGGCGTCGTCACCTGCTTCAGTAAAGACAAGGCGAGCGGGCACAGTCTGTAGGGCCGGGGAGCCGGGGCTGCCGCCGCCCGAGCCCCGCGGCGCTCGGAGCGCCCGCGCCGTCCTCAGCGAGAGCCGACACCGGCCCCGCTCCAAACGCCGATATAAAACACCCGCGGGCGGCAGCGAGAAGTACGAGGGGACACAGAAGGTAATAACGGGCCGCATAAAACGAACACACTCCGCGTTAAACGAAACGTCCCAGAAAATCCTCCGGGGTTACCGGGAACGCGGGACAGAGCCTTCGGCATGGAAAACCCCGAATTAGGCAGCACCGGCTGCCGTGAGGCCGAGAAAATAGCAGGTCCCGACCAGCGGAGGACTCCGGGCAACGAAGCTCCAGGTCAGTAAAGTTTCGGCTGAACAAAGTTTGCAGCTCCGAACAAAAACCAGCGTAATAAAAACGCGGAGAAGTTCGAGTACCGGTATTTTTCTTCGGTAGCCTCGTGATTTTAAAATAAATCTAAAAACCAAACAAAAAGAACGATCTCTCGGCTGGCAATAGCCTTACGTTTGAGTAGCACATTTATACAAAATTACCTCTACTCCTAACACGGAAAGGAAAAGTTCGGGCATCGCTTCGCTACTTTAGAAGAATCAAAGAAGGACGGAGGGGGGGGGAGGGAATCTAGCAACAACTTCCAATAAAAACTCAAGCCTTTACTTCACTTTAGTGGGAAAGAAAAGCTAGAGAAGGAGAAACTTAATCTAGGGGAAAAAATTCGTCTCCGTTATTGTTAGCGCAAACTTTTTGGTGGCGTAGCTATAAATACTCGCAGCTCTAGAGCAGAGAGAAAAAGTAAACAGAGCAGAAGGAGCGGTAAAGAGACCGGCAGAAATACAGGTTGTTTTCTTGCGCTTTCAACGAAAGCGGGAGGGCCCGATCCAGCCGTGCTGGGTCAGCTCCACACCGGACCGGTCGCGTCCCGGTCCGTCCCGCAGCCCCGAGCCCGCCTGCGCTCCTGCGGGAAAAATGAGCGCGGGCCACGCGGGGCTCTGGGAAGCCAAGCTCTCAAAAAACTGCCTCTTTCGCCCCATTTTCGTTTGGTAGTTTTTTTTAATAGCATTTCCTTAATTAAAGGTATATTATCGCCAAGAACTCCAACAATATTTTCTAAAACTTCGGGAAATTTGAAAGCAACAGGCGGGGACACGGCGGGGGTGCTGTGTCCCATAAGTGTCTGCGCCCACCCCCAGTCCCGCACGGCTCCCCCGGCCCTCCTGACTGCCGCCGTCCCGACCGTAAACCCCGGTGCCGACCAGCCTGGGCCGTGTCGGAACTCGCTCCCCGCCACCGCGACCGGGATTTGCCCGGTTCCGGGAGGGCGGGAGAGGCTCACCTTGGGCTTGCTGCCGCCGATGGCCCCCGGCCGGATGGAGCCCGTCTCCTGGTACCTGCAGAGAATTTTGGAGACGCAGCCGTGGGACACTCGCAGCTGGCGGGAGATGACACAGGGCCTTATGCCATGGTGGGCCATCTCCACTATCTTGTGCCGGATATGGTTGGGTAAAGGCCTGCCATTGATAAACACTCCTCCGAGCTGATTGACTCTGCCCTGGCCTAGAGGGGTAGAGACTAGAAAAGGAGGGAAGGGAGGCAGGGGGGTAAATGGCGTTAACGTCTTCTTAGGATCCTGCTGCGTCTTTTTTTTTTTTTTTTTGTTGTTGTTGTTGTTGTTGTTGTTACTGTTTTTTTATCGTTGCTTTTCTATAAAACTCACCCGCCCGCCCCGCCGCTCGCCCGGGGCCCGCAGCTCCCGCGGAGACCCCGCCGCCGGCCCGGCGGGCAGGGAGGGAGGCGGCCGCGGCTTCACCTGTTGCACTCAGCCGGAGCCGGCTCTCAGAGCCCGCCTGGCTCCGGCGGAGAACGGGGAAGCGATGCGGGAAGGCCGCGGTGTCCCCGGCGGCGCGGGGGCCGGCCCGGCTCGGCCGGCCCGGGAGCGGCGGTGGGACCGCGGCAGCCGCCCGTCCTCCCTCGGGCACGGCCTGGTGGTCCCCGGAACCGCGGGGCCTTCGCACCGCCGCTACCTTGATTCAGAGCAGCCACTCGCAGCGGCCCGGTGCCGACCCACGGTTCTAAACTTCCTTTCGATTCGCATTGCTTTTGTCCGAATTGAATTTTTTTCCTAACTTTTTCCCCAACTTTGGGCTCCCCTAATCACCACCCTTCACTAAGAGAACCGGGGCCGGTGCTCTGCCGACCTCCCGGTGGGCTCCTCCTGCTCGCGGGACGGGCCGCTCGCAGGGTGCGAGGCCGGAGCCGCCCGGGCCGCGCCCGTGCCGGGACAAACCCTGCTCTGACATAACCCGGGGGGAAGCCGGGCGGCCGTCCTGGAGGACTCCGTGCGCCAGTTCTGGCGGGCCGGGGGCCGCTTTGTTCCGGCGTCCCGACACGGAATGAATATCCCTTTCCCGACCGGGAGCAGCATAGGCGCGGCCTTACCTTCCAGCGGGAACCCGCTGCGGGGATAGTTCTGCCCGGCCCCGGGGCGCATCATCCTGGGGACAGCTCCGGCCAGAGTTGTCATCGCGGCGGCAGCGGCCGGCAGGGTTATATCCAGGTGAGGGCTGATCTAGGGGAGACCCGCGCTGTCAGCGGGCCCCGCCGAATCAGGAGCGGTCCCGGAGGGGGTGGGGGATGCCGCCGAGGGGCGGGGAGGAGGCAGCTCCGCCGCTGCCCCTTTGTCAGTGACCCGCGCTGCCCCGCACCGGGAGGGCAGGGGCCGGGCCGGAGCCCCGCCGGGCGGCGCGGCTGAGCGCGGGGAGGGCGGGCGGGGGGCGGCGGCGGCGTCCCCGGTGCGGCGGGGAGCGGCGGCCGCGGGGCCCGGAGCATTTATCGGCTCCGCGCCCGGCGCGGCCCGGCGGCGGCGCCGCCGCGATTGGCCACCGCCGGCCGGCCCGGCCGCGCCGCCCCCGCTGATTGGGCGAGCGGGCGGCTCGCGCATCGCCCCGGCCCGCGCCACGGCGGCTCGGCCGGACCGGCACCGCTCGGCTCGGCTCGGCTCGGCTCGGCTCGGCCGGACCGGCACCGCGCGGCTCGGCTCGGCTCGGCTCGGCCGGACCGGCACCGCACGGCTCGGCTCGGCTCGGCTCGGCTCGGCCGGACCGGCACCGCGCGGCTCGGCTCGGCTCGGCTCGGCTCGGCTCGGCCGGACCGGCACCGCGCGGCTCGGCTCGGCTCGGCTCGGCTCGGCTCGGCTCGGCCGGACCGGCACCGCGCGGCTCGGCTCGGCCCGGCTCGGCTCGGCTCGGCTCGGCTCGGCTCGGCTCGGCTCGGCTCGGCTCGGCACCGTGCGGCTCGGCACCCCGCGGACAGAGCCGCGCTGGACCCTTTCCCCGCAAGCAGAGGGCGGCCGGCGATGGGGATCTCGGTACCCCGACGGCCGCCCCAGCCCCGGGAGGGAAGCACCGACCGGGCCGGCCTGGACATCGCACCGCTCAGGACCCCGTGTCGCTGCGGGACTGGGCGGGACAGCCCCCGCCTGGCTGCCACGAAGCGGTTTTTTTTGCCTGACTCCGCTCCCCGAGCACCAGCGGAGGGGTAGGGGCAACAATCTTTTTCATTTTAAGGAAAAAATGCTCATTAATTCTTTCCTTCTACTTATTTACTTGAGCTGATATCTCTCTACGTACAGAAGAAACATCTCTGGAACAAACGGTGCTCAAGGTTTTGAGAGCAAGAGCTGCCAATGAGATCTCCGTGGGGATGTCTGCTTTTAAAAACCGGTGGGACAAGGGTGTCCCTGCGTTTCACGCGTGTGCGTGAGCGTTTATATGTGTATTGGTGCGAGGCGGTGCATGTTAAAGTCTTACTAACAAGCGTTTGTTCCCAGGAATTTATTGTAGTATTCAAACTAAACTGCTGGAAAAATAAAAGAGGTAAAGTCTGCCTCGGAGCTGGAGTGCCCACAGCAGGATATGACGCCAGGAGTGTTGTAAAGACTGTCTGTCCTTAGAGAAGGTACCATTGTGCATGGCCTTTTATTTATAACTTGGTAAGTGCCAGCAAACTCGCCTCCTTTACACTCCGAAGTGCCAGCCCAGCTTTCCACAGGGCTCTTTATTTGCAATCGTCTATTCAGGAACTGTCACTCCCGAGCTTCAAGTTATTCAAGACCTTAATCAATCAAAAGGATGAGAATCGCTCAGGTTTCCTCCTTTGAAATGAAGGGGAAAAATGTTTTCTGGGCTTCCAGTCCGCGTTCCCTTTACGAGCAGGACGATCGTTGCGGGGCCGGAGACGGCCCCAGGGTGGGCGGGGGTTCGCGTTATTTAGGCAGAAATCCGGAGCCTTAATAATAAGAGAACCGTCCGTCCAGGGACCGGCAGCAGCACGGCGCGGCCCCCGGGGAAACTCGGAGTTTGTGTCGGGCTCCGCTCCGCTCCGCAGCGAGGGACGAGGGGTCGGCAGAAGAACCGGCACCCACTGCATGCCTGGGTGCCTCTGCCTTTCTCTCCAGCCCCACGCGCTAGCCACCAAACCGAGTGGTTCCCCTCGCTTTCAAATGCACACAAACACATCCAAATACCGGGTGCTGCCTGGGAACGCTCCCGCGCCCCAAGGAAGAGGCTGGCAGGAAAAGTTCACACTCAGTGAAAGTCAGGGTGTATTTCACTAAGCGTTTGTGCTCCACAAACACCCCGGTGGCCGGAGCTCTGGGAAACCCGTTAGCGAGCCCTGTGGAAACCCAGTCCCGTGAGGACCGGGCCGAGCCGGGCGCTGGAGCGCCCGCGGCAGCCGGGGAGAGCCCGGGCCCGAGCCGTCGTTCCACAAACCACACCGCGCCACTCGCCTTTCACTGGAGGGAGCAAGTCGGTAGAAGTGTTATTAAAAAAATAAATAAAATAAAAAAGAGATTAAACTCCTTAGGGTTTGATTATCGCTTGGGAGCCCTGCGGCGGGGAGCAGGGCCGCACGAAGTGAAGTGCACCCGGCGCTAACAGCATCCTCGTAGCCACCTCACTCCCCACCGGTACCACTGCGGCTCCGAGCATGGGAGCAGAAACCCTCCCTAGCCATCGCGACGGGTGCCATTGTGATGCTGTGGGCAGTAATCCTCGTCCCAGAGAGGAGGGGTGCGACCTGGGACTGTCTCGACCCCTCACCCGCGGAGGAGGAGGAGCGGAGCCCCTCATCCCGGCAGGAGAGCCAGCCTGGCCAGTGTTTTTCAGCTGCTTCCCCCCTCCTTTAACGACGCGCTTTCGTGTGCGTGCCGCGTGTTTTTGCGTGGAGCCAGTGTCGCGCCCGGGGCCGCCCCGACAGGCGCGGCCCGTGCCGGCCCTGCCACAAACCGGGAGCTCCGGAGCCGCCGCTGCTCCCGGCGATTGTTGCCGGCCGGGGATCGGGGCTGTCGGGCCTGGACGCTTCCCCCGAGAGGGCTGGCGGCTCCCGCAGCTCCGGTTCCCCGTTCCCCGTTCCGCGGCCGGCCCCCGCCACCCCAGCGCGCCCCCAAAGCCGAGCCGCGCTCTCCCAGGACAGACCCGGGCCCGCGGGGCCGGCAGGGAAAAGCGTGTGAAACCCACCTAGTCCCGTCCTCGCGGTCCTGTGCTACCAGACACCGAGTGCCCCGCGATGGAACAGCCTCATCTTCCCGCACGGGAACTGTGAAAAATTCAAGGCAAAAAGATTAGGCACGAATGCCTGGCCCCGCTCCTCCCTCCCCTCCTCGCCCCCACCCCCATATTACAGTCCTTTAGGCCAGCAGAGATGATTTCACGGTTTTCCAGTGGAAATAGCTAAAAACGCTCCTGCTAATTACAGAGCTCTTCCAGGCCAGGTGCACTTTTAATTGGATTAGTAAGTGCTCTATATTAAACCTGCAGCACATCAAATGGACAGTGAAAATTAGAGCTATTAAGAACACAGGCAATAATTTCTGAACGATAAACAGTGTTGGTCTCCCCTCTATTAGAAATAAATCAATTACACTGTTTCCGGTTTGGTGCACACAAATTCATTTCTCATACGGGTTTCGAAGAGACGTCTCCGGCTATTTACAAGGGAGGTGGAGAGGAGACAGCACAGTTTGATACATAGAAACGTGTGCATAGAAACGTGTGGGAAAGGAAAGGAAAGGAAAGGAAAGGAAAGGAAAGGAAAGGAAAGGAAAGGAAAGGAAAGGAAAGGAAAGGAAAGGAAAGGAAAGGAAAGGAAAGGAAAGGAAAGGAAAGGAAAGGAAAGGAAAGGAAAGGAAAGGAAAGGAAAGGAAAGGAAAGGAAAGGAAAGGAAAGGAAAGGAAAGGAAAGGAAAGGAAAGGAAAGGAAAGGAAAGGAAAGGAAAGGAAAGGAGTAGGAGAGAGAGAAAAAGAGAGATAGGGAAAGAAAGAAAAACGAAAAACACCAACAATAAAAACCCTAAGAATGAAGGAAGTCAAGACTAGCATAACTATTGAGTATGCATGGACGCCTATAACTGCTATTTCGTACTCCACGCTGTCCTTGCCATAAACACCTAAAAAAAGAAACATCTGGGTCTCCGGCCGAGGAGACCCTCGGGGCTGGCCGGTTCGGCTTCACCCGAACATGGCTGTCCCTTCACACAGGTTTCCCTCTCTTTGCCCCCTCCCACAGCGTCTGAGCGCGTTTGCGGGACCCTGTGCTCCGTCCCGCCGGTGAGGGAGCGTGTGCCCGGCGGGATGGGCACACGGGCTTGCGGGGCAGGGCTGCGGCTTGCAGGAACCGCTGTCCAGCCCCGGGCGTGTGCCCCGCGTTAGGAGGCTCCTTCCCCACGGCAGCCCGGGCGTGGGGACACGCGAGCGCTGCCACGGACCACAGGCGCGTTAAGCCAAACCGGTATCGACGTGTTCGGACGAGAGTGACCCTCGTAGGACGGCGAGTTGTAAAAATGCCACAGAAGTGAAACTTCAGTACTGTTCAAGAAATTTGGCGTCAGTGTAATATGAACGCTTATTGAATCCCCTGCTTTGAGAGGGGACGAGATAGGGAGTGTCGGGGGTGGTGGGACGGAGAAGAGGGACAGGTAGGGAGGCAGCAGGTGGTGGCATCCCGCGACACCGCGCCGGCGGCCACAGCGACAGGCGGCTCCGTACAGCCCAGGCTCGCTCTCAGAAATAAGTTCCGCTATAGAGACCTCCGAGGAAAGCATCTCTGTACCCTATTTTCGCACATCACCCCTCCCCGTTTATGGACCCAGAGGTGTCTGCGGACATTACTCCTCGAGCCGAGGGCTGTGAGGGAGGGAGCCCCGCCGCCGTGCTCCGGGGCAGCCACCCGGGAAGCGCGGCGGGATGCGGTACTGGGATCGGCGGGATGCGGTACTGGGATCGGCGGGATGCGGTGCTGGGATCGGCGGGATGAGGCACTGGAATCGGTGGGACCCTTCCCCGGTCGCCAGGCTGGAAGTTTGGGAGAGAACCAGACGTAGTCTAGAAGGGGAAAGTACCCGCTCGGCCGCCTTCCCGGGCCCACCGAGAACCGCGCCGGAGGGCAGCGGGCCCCGGAGGAGCCCGGCCCGGGCGCCGATGCCCCGGGAAAGTCCGAGCTGGCCGTGGAGCGGGCAGCAGGGGCTGGCTCCTGGGCTGGCACCGGGGCCCAGGCTTTAGCAATAAACAGAGACAAGTAACCTAAAGATTAATTATTTTTAGTGAGGGTTTTGTTTGGGGGTTTTTTGTTTTGTTTTGTTTTGTTTTGTTTTGTTTGGTGGTTTGTTTGGGTTTTTTTGTTGGTTTTTGTTTGTTTTTTTTTTTTTTTTTTTTTTTTTTGGTGGCAGAAACATAACACTATTTGGAAAAAAAAAAAAAAAAAATTACCAGCAAAGGGCCGGGGAGATTAACATTTGGAAACTTATGAAATGTAATCTGCATATCCAATTGATTCCCACATATCAGTTGAAAGGATAAAGATGCGTATCTCCATGATGGATATTGCATTAATAGGCACATAAATAAAGGTTGAAAAGTCATCACTGAAAGCTTTGAACCTTTCCCCATCGCTTTTATGTCCGATCCGCACGTTTCAGCACCATCTTTTTTTTTTCTTCTTTTTTCTTTTTTTTCCTTTTTGAGTTAACGTTTTCATTAATTTACAGCTACGGTACTCCTGGCAGTCGGTGAAGGGGCAGCTCAGTACGGGAGGAGGGTGTGCAGAAGGCTAGGAATAGGGGACAGAACACCCACAACCCCCCGTGCCAAGTCCGGGAGCACTCTCGAGCTCCGCTGACCGGGCCGAGGGACAAGGAGGGCACCCTGCCTCTGCCACTCCTAAGGAAGAGCTTCCTCCGAGGGTTACAGCCTCGGGGATCGCCTGTGCCAGCACCACGGACGGAATAGAAATCTATTTCTATTAGACGGAACGGAGGGGAACGGCAAAGTATTTCCATGGTGGGAAGATCCGAAATAGAGCTCATCACAGGGGCCCCGAAGGGAGCCGTGAGAGGGAGCAAACATCCAGGGGGTGAGAGGTGGCCCCGAGAAGGGCCGAAATCCATCCCCACGTAACCGGCGAGGCTGCCCGTGGGCGAAGGCCGCCCTCTGTCTCCCTGTAAACTGGCAATAAATACAACATGTATTTCACTAACTCCTCACCTTTCTGATTACTACCAGATCCTGCAGTAAGCGATACTACAGCTGCCCCTCCGCACCCCTGGGGCTGGCAGCGGCTGCGGGCCCGCACCGCAGAGCCCGGGGGCTCCTTCCCGCGGGCTGCCAAGGGACGGGCCCTGCTGCAAGAGACGGGAGGGAAGGGCGGTGTAACTCCTTTATTTCCGACTTGAAAGATTCCCATCGAGCTTGGGGTGCATGCAGAGAGCGGCGGCGGTGCCGCGCTGTGTCCCCGCTGGGAGGGCAGGGCCGGGTCCCCGCGGATCACCCGTGGGGAACGCGCTTCTTCCTCCCGCGCCTCCTCCGTACTTAACGGCCCCTTTTCAAAACG